CTCATTTGATGCTCACAGCAACTCTGTGAGCTAAGCATGATATATACCATTGCTACTCCTGAGTTTACCAATGAGAGCTGATGCTTAGGGAGCTGAGGTGACTCACTCCAGGCTATAGAGTCTGTGGCAGAGTCAAGACAAGAAAGCACATTTTCAGGGTTCTTGTGTGCCATGCTGTTCTCTGGACTTTAGTCAACTGTGGGAAAGAATTACTCCTAGAGAAGGAAATTAAGCAAGGCTTGAATAGTTAAGATGCTTTAGCTTTTTGTATGTGTGCAGATTTGCATGATTAGGTGTGTGTGTGTACATGTGTGTTATAATAGAACTCCAGCACTGACTATTCTCTTCTTTGCCTTATGGACAAAGCAATCAAATGAATTAATTAGTCCAATAAATATTTATTTAGTAACAAGCACTATTGTAGTTGCTGGTGATATAGCAGTGAATAACAAAAGTCTTTGCCCCATGGAGCTCACCTTTTAGATGTTACAGATAAATAATAAAATAGCAAGTCAATATATAGTATGTCAGATGTTGACTAGTATGAAAGCGAAAAATAAAGCAGGATGAGGAGATAGGAAAAAAGAGTAGGTGCTGCTATTTTATTCAGCCTGGTCAAAGAAGATCTGGATAGTGAGGTGGCATCTAAGAAGAGGTTTGAGGAAGGGAAGGAGTGTTCCACGTGGATGCAGGGCAGAATGGCAGAGACGAGCATTTGCTAAGGCCACGAGGAAGGGACATGTTTGGGTATGAGAAACAGCAGTGGACCCAGGCTTGCTGGAGAAGAGTGCATGCATAGGCATGGAAGGGGAGAGTTATGGACAGGAAATGAGGTGAGAGGGCTCTGCTGAGGAGAGGTGAGGGCAGATAGGAAAGATCATGCAGGACTTTGGAGGCCACTGTAAGAGTTTGGGTCTTCATCTGGGAGAGACAGAATTTGACATACATTGTTGAAGAATTTACAACAAACTAATTTGAGTTCTGTGAAGTCCTAACTAGAAATATGAGAAGCTTAGTTTTATTTGAAGCACTATCTTTAGATCTTTCTTTTTGACTTGTATGCCATAGTCTTACTGGGGTATACTTGAGAAATTAAAAGTATATACATTTAAGGTATACAACACAATGACTTGATACACATATACATTGTGTAATGATTACCATAATCAAGCTAATTAATATACCATCAGCTCACATCTACCTTTCTCTTGCATGTAGTGAAAACACCACAGTACTCTACTTGCACTGGTTCCATTTAATGATATTTTGACTTTATTATGATGCAAAAGCAATATCCACTGAATATAGCATATGTACTTTGAATTTGGAATGTTGGTCTTTTTCTGAGCTATGGTATGGACATGATATGATCTTGAGTCTCAGGGCAACAGCAGCAAACCGCAGCTCACAGCCTCGTGATCACAGTGTGAACAACCAACATTCTACAGCATGCTCTGTGATAAGATGTGATGTTCAGTAAGTTATGGGAATCGAACAAATTCTCAACTTAGATTACTTTCAATGTATGATGAGTATATTGGGACTTAACCCTGTCTTAAGTAGAGGAACACCCATGTACAACACAACATTGTCAACTGTGCTATACATTAGAGACCAAGAACTTATTCATCTTATAACTGAAAGTTTGTACCTTTGTCCAACATCCCCCCGCCCCTTTTCCCCTCAGCCCCTGGTAACCACTGTTCTACTCTCTGCTTCTGTGGATTCAACTTTTGAACTTTTTTTTTTTGCAGGCACAGGAAACAGAACCCAGGGTCTTGAGCATGCTAGGCAAGCCCGCTAACCCCACTCTGGTTTGACTTTCCTTAGACTCCATGTTTAAGTCAGATCTGCAGTATTTGTCTTTCTGTGTCTGGCTAACTTCACTTAGCATAGTGTCGTCTAGGTTCATCCACATTGTCTCAAGTGGAAAAATTTCCTTGTCTTTATGGTTGGATAATACTCCATTTTACATATACAGCCTATTTTCTTAATCCATTCATCACTGAACAGACACTTAGGTTGTGTTTCCATATATTAGCTATTGTGAATAATGCTAATATGGGAGGGCAGACATCTCTTTGATAAAACTGATTTCGTTTTCTTTGGAAACATACCCAGTAGTGGGATTGCTGGATCATATCATATGGTAGTTCTGTTTTTAATTTTTAAAGGAGCCTCCATTCTACTTTTCATCCTAGCTGTATTAGCTTACAGTCTCATAAACAAAGTATACAGGTTCCCTTTGTGCCATACCTTTTCCAACACTGGTCACCGCTTGTCTTTTTGATGTAACATACATACATATAGGTATACAAAGAGGAATGACGTAACATGCCATTGTGGTTTTAATTTGCATTTCCCTGATGATTAGTAATGTTGAACACCTTTTTGTGTAGCTATTGGGGTTATTTGCATGTATTCTTTGTAAAATATTTAGTTAATGCTTTGCCCATTTTGCTACTTAGCTGTAGATGCTCTATATATTTTGGTTATTAATCCCTATTTTGTATACAGTTTGCAAATATTTTCTCCTTCCACAGGTTCCCTTCTCATCTTGTTGATTGTTTCCTTTGCTGTATAGAAGATTTTAGTTTGATGTTGTTCACTTGTTTATTTTTGCTTTTGTGGTCTGTACTCATGGGACCTTTCTTTCCAAGCTTGTTCAAGTAAAGTCAAATTTTACACTTTCATTAATTGTCATTCATTCAGATCCATGGTGAGCTCCACAATAAGCACCAAGCTAGGCACTACTGATTCAGAAGTAAGAAGACAGTGCTCCTTATAGTGATAGAGACAGTAATGAACAAAGGAAAGATTTAAGCTACTGTAAAGGCCCAGGAAGAACATAAAACAGGGAGCTGCAACCATGATCCCATTGTGGAGATTGCTTTAGATTCCAGTTACCTTGGAAATGCAGCTCGTGATGCTATACTTGTAGAGCAATGTACAATTAACAGGTTGAGACAGGCTAGCAAAATGGTATTACTTTGAGTTTTTAAATGAGGAAGCTGAAGTTCAGGGAGATCAACCCAGTAAATGGCAGAACCGGGGTCTGAGTCCAAGTGTTCTGTAATTTCAGTACCAGAGTTTTTCTCATAATATACACACTATGGAATGTGAGGGTAGCAATGGGGCATGGGATGAGGGAATCAGCTATGGTTAGGCAAGAAAAGCAAGGAATTCCTGCCAACACAGGAAGAGAACGCAAGAGCAAGGGTGGCAGCTAGCTCCCCGTAAGGTCTTGCAGGACAGTTGGTAGGATATACAGAGGCTGCCATCCCTACAGTCCCAACTTCTGCAGGGTGGAGATCATCTGCATCCTGATCTGACTAGGACCTCTGCCTTGAACCACTGATCTTAGCAACCCAGCCTAGGGGAGCCCTGGGTCACATGTGATTTCAGTTATTGCATTTATCTGCATCGTTGTCATGGTATTTGGAAGATGACTAAATTCTTACTGGTGTCCCAGACCACTCTGTATTGTGCAATGGGTCCAGATAAAATCTGGGAAAGCTACCTCATCATCGCTGGCCGGTCAGAAATAGGGAGATGCTTCAGCAATTTTCAGTAACATCCCACCCGCGCCCCTTTTCTCCATTATTAAAACAAATCTGAACCAACAAAGGTCTAAAACTTTCCGCTTTATTATTTCACCCTGCCTTGTTATAACTGTGCCCTTTGTCCACACCCCACTGGGGTTTTTTGCAGCCTGAGGGAATCTGGGAAGTGTCTGCTCCCAGTTCTCAGTCACTCCCATAATAAACAATCACTAAATAGCTTGCTGCCCTAGGCAACTGCTTGTCCAGCTGGCCAGTCTCTGAGACTTCGGGTGGGAGGTGTTCTCTCTAAACTAGCCAGGGAACTTGATTTTGCAGCTACAGTACTGTTTGGGAGCTTAGCACATGTTTGTGGTCCTGGAGATCTTTAGAGGGACTCCTTTATCTGAGTTATCCAATGAAGTCCACCAGGGGTAGCAGAAGCTTGGGGCTGGGGAGTGAACTGAAGGAAAGGCCAATTATCTCACACTAATTGTAAATAAGGTCATTTTCTGCTTCAAGGTTCCCTTCTACTGCTGGGGCAGCTAGCAGTCTACCAGTCACCCATTCCTAAGAGACATCTTAAAATTAACTACCACCACAAAAGAGAGTAACATTGCCCAAGACTGGGACAAACTTAACTGACTTCTCTTCAGGCATCAGAATTTCCCCCCTAACGTTACTTAATACAGTAGATGGAGAGGATCGGGAAAACAGAGGAAAGGATGTGTAGATAATGAGGATTTCGAATAGGTGTCTCTAAGGCACGCGGAGACAATAGTGAAAATGGTAACAGTTCCTCGATTATGATAATTCCTCTTTATTCTTGGGGATTAGGGTATCTCGGTGGGGAAGAAAGAAAAATGGATGGGCGTTATAGGGGAATAATGGGGACTCTTTAAATGCGTAATAGGAAATAAAAAATATTGGGCCTCGGTGGGTTGCGACAGGCACCTTTCAGATCGGTGGTCGCTTTCCATGAAGTCCCCACCGCTCTCCCTCGGGCTGTCCCCACTTCTCCACTTGCAAGCATCCTTCTCCTGGAACCGGCACCTTCTCAGCCTCCCGCTCGGAGGCGTTCCCGGCCGGCAGCCGAGGAGACCGGATTCTCTAGGGCGCCGGAGGCATCCCGACCCGGGCGGTCCCCGCTTCCCCAGCTGCCGCCTCTGGGCGGCGCTGGTTCCCGGCACAGCCCAGGCCGGATTCCGGACCCCGCATGCCGAGGAGCCGAGGAGCCGCGGGGCTCGCTCCGGACCACCCCGCGCTCCGTCCGCCCGCCCGTCCGCCCGCCAGCCACTGCCGAGGAACTCCCGGGTCCCCGCGCCCCCCGCGCCGCGCCGCGCCGGCGCCGCTGCCCGCGGCCGGGGGTTATGAATGGGCGCAGCGGAAGCACCGCCCCCCCCGGACGTGACGCTCGGCCAATGGCAGCGCGGGCTGCGTGGATGGATGAGGTCAGCGCTGTCGTGTCGGGAATGGAATGTGTAAGTGTAACATTCAGAACCGGGTAACATTCGGCGACCGAACGCGGCGGTCGGCAGCGTTCGCGCGGGGCCTGCGGAGCGCCGCTCGGGGCCGGCACTGCCCGCGGGGAGGACGCGCCGCCGCCCAGCGCCACCGCCGCCGCCGCCGCCGCCGCCGCCGCCAGCCGGGCCGCCGCGCGCCCCGGGGGCCGCCCCGCGAGCGCACAGTAAACACCGCCGGAGTCGGAGCCGCTGCAGAAGGGAATAAAGAGAGATGCAGGGATTTGTGAGGTTACGGCGCCCCAGCTGCAAGATGCACTAGCCGGCGGAACCCGGGATCGGCTGACTTGTTGGAACCAGAGCGCTCTGCACGGGAGTGTGGATGAGTTGAAGTTGCTTTCCCGGGGCTCATTTTCCACGCTGCCGAAAGGAATCCGAGAGGCAAGGCAGTCACTTCGTCTTGCCATTGATTGGGTATCGGGAGCTTTTTCTTCCCCCCTCTCTTTCTTTTCCTCCGTCTTGTTGCATGCAAGAAAATTACAGTCCGCTGCTCGCCCGCCCTGGGTGCGAAATATTCAGCCCCGCTCTCTTCCGTGCATTGTGCAACCCAAAGATGAAAGACCGAAGGGGAGAAAGTTAAAGAAATCGCCCACATGCGCTGGATCAGTCCACGGCTTGGGGAAAGGCATCCAGAGAAGGTGGGAGCGGAGAGTTTGAAGTCTTTACAGGCGGGAAGATGGCGGACTGGAGCTGAAAGTGTTGATTGGGAAACTTGGGTGATTCTTGTGTTTATTTACAATCCTCTTGACCCAGGCAGGACACATGCAGGCCAAAAAACGCTATTTCATCCTGCTCTCAGCTGGCTCGTGTCTCGCCCTTTTGTTTTATTTCGGAGGCTTGCAGTTTAGGGCTTCGAGGAGCCACAGCCGGAGAGAAGAGCACAGCGGTCGCAATGGCTTGCACCAGCCCAGTTCGGATCATTTCTGGCCCCGCTTCCCGGACGCTCTGCGCCCCTTCTTTCCTTGGGATCAATTGGAAAACGAGGATTCCAGCGTGCACATTTCCCCCCGGCAGAAGCGAGATGCCAACTCGAGCATCTACAAAGGCAAGAAGTGCCGCATGGAGTCCTGCTTCGATTTCACCCTTTGCAAGAAAAACGGCTTTAAAGTCTACGTCTACCCGCAGCAGAAAGGGGAGAAAATCGCCGAAAGTTACCAAAACATTCTAGCGGCCATCGAGGGCTCCAGGTTCTACACCTCGGACCCCAGCCAGGCGTGCCTCTTTGTCCTGAGTCTGGATACTTTAGACAGAGACCAGTTGTCACCTCAGTATGTGCACAATTTGAGATCCAAAGTGCAGAGTCTCCACTTGTGGAACAATGGTAGGAATCATTTAATTTTTAATTTATATTCCGGCACTTGGCCTGACTACACCGAGGACGTAGGGTTTGACATCGGCCAGGCGATGCTGGCCAAAGCCAGCATCAGTACTGAAAACTTCCGACCCAACTTTGATGTTTCTATTCCCCTCTTTTCTAAGGATCATCCCAGGACAGGAGGGGAGAGGGGGTTTTTGAAGTTTAACACCATCCCTCCTCTCAGGAAGTACATGCTGGTATTCAAGGGGAAGAGGTACCTGACAGGGATAGGGTCAGACACCAGGAATGCCTTATATCACGTCCATAATGGGGAGGACGTCTTGCTCCTCACCACCTGCAAGCATGGCAAAGACTGGCAAAAGCACAAGGATTCTCGCTGTGACAGAGACAACAACGAGTATGAGAAGTAAGTGGCTGGGCTTCGCTGTCAGCCCTGGATCCTGCTGTTTAGGTCCAGGTGTGAGGTTGGAGGATGTGGGTGGGGACAGAGAAACTCTCAGCTCTTTTCCTTCCTGTTCTGCTCTTGGAACTGAGCAACCTGGTTCAAGTGTGGCTAGAAGCTGGGGCCAGAGTTTGACCACCTCAGGTGAGGTGAAAAGCTTGGAGCAGTTTCCTGAGCCAAGTAGGTGACAGTGTCTCCCTCTTGCTTGGAAAACCTCCAGGGTGTTGTGTCTTCTGGGAGGCTTGGGGTTCTGATCTAAATAATGCAAACTTCCCTTCAGCCAGGCGTTTGGGAGTCTGTTTCTGAGGGTGTCTGGAGATCCAGAGAGACTCAGTTCTATCCCAGTTGGCAGAGCTCCCTGTACTAGAATTTGCTTATCTCATGAGCATGGGTACCTGTTCTCCCTGGAGTTTCCTAGCCTCAAATTTTCATCTTCTTGTAAGCCTCAAATTCATGTTAGCTGGAGGAGTGTTTTAATTATAACCATACTAAACTTGTGCGCTTTTCTCCTCCTTCCTCCATTGACTTGTATGAAGGGAGATTGTAAACTTGTTAGGGCCTGTGGCCTAGCTTGCTTGCTGGCAATCATGCATTCATTCATTAATTCACTCGTGTGTGTATGTCCGACTCTTCCCTTGGAAAAACTTTAAAATCTGGGCCGCAGGCCCACTGCTATAAACTACCCTTGCTAATTTAGGTTTTCCTTTCCTCTTTGTCTTTACCTATTTGCATATAAATCGGAGACTGTTATTCTTTGAATGCCATGAGATGCCTCCTTAGCCTGTGTAGTCAGGCAAGTTTTGTCCAGTTGCTAAGTAACTGAGTTAGTTACTTTGTAGCCCCATTCACTCTTCCTTTTCCTTCTCAGTGACTGTTACTGACACATTGGATTTGGGAGTAGAAGCTAGAATCCACAAATCTGCCTTACCTTGAGCTTGGAGGGTCAGTTTCCTAACAGATGGAGTTGGTGCCCCAGACTCTCTCTCTCGTATCTGGCTGTGAAAGAGTTAGTGAGTTCCTACAGTGCATTTCCACGTTACGCCAGTTAAAACCAGAGCAGCCTTGTGCTACCCAGGGAAGGAAGGGGAACCTCTCAGCTGAGTACAAGAGGAACTGGCAGAGGTTGGCAGATTTTGCAGTTGATTCATGAAGAATAGGGGAAATGCTTCGCAAACCTGATTGGAACAGGAAGGGGTATGGTGGGAAAGTGGCCCTGAAATGAAAGGTTTGATTGTTGTCTGTGGATTTCTTCAGACACATGGGCCTCTGTGGGAGGGGTGAGAAGGGAAATTAAAGTCCTCCTAGAATTGATCACGGAGAGCAAAGGAAGAAGTATCAAATATGGGTATTCTGCCCTGCAACCCCCAACACCTTTTGCTTTTCAAGCATAAGAAAAGCCTGAGGCCAGGATCAATTCAGAATCTGTATTTTACTCTTATTCAGGGGTTACGAGTGAATGCTGGGTGCAGTTGCAATGGATTAAAATTTTCTCACAAACAAACTTGAACAATGATCAGTAATGAACTGCTTTGTTATATGGTGTTTGATGTTTGCATTTACTGATTCCTGTGGGTGCTGGAAGAATAAAATACTTTATAGCCTTTAAGGAATTTCTTTGTCTGGTGTATGGTGGAGTACCTTATGATGAAGCCTTACCTTTTAGTGTCTTATCAAGCAAACTCATCACATTTTATAGAAGGATCATGGTGTTCTTCATTCTTTTGAAAGAACAGGAGCTGAGATTTCCTTAGGAAACTTGAATTGTATATTTATCTGGGAAACACCCTCAATCCAATGAACCAATTGAATCTTCCGTACCCTCTTATTCCAAAGTAAATATTAAATCTCAACATTTTCTGCTGAATGGAAGCTTTAGCTTTCTAAAGATTAGCCATGAAGACAGGCAGGGTTGGCTTCCTTGCAACTTTAATTTTGCCAATTAAATTTAACTAATTTTTGACTTCTTGTTGGGCCAAGAAATCTGACATCAACAACCCTTGTTTTGATGCAGGTTTAAAGATCATTAGTGGTCAGGACCTCAGGATTGTGTGTCTGTGGAAAGGGGAATTTAGAAGGAAAAGCAGGTGGTTCTCCTGAGTGGGGTTTCTTGAGCAGGGTTGCCTCTGGATTTTCTTTATGTTCCCCCTTTCCACACCTTCCAGTACTAACCTGGCTTAATTGGACAGGATGGTGCTGCAGAATGTTTGCATTCACCAGTCTGGAATATCTGGAGTTTTAACTCATACCCTCATTGAATTACCCTAATTTTTCTTCTTGAAAAGTGGTGTTTGCAAACATGATTGCTTTTTGCTATTGATTTTGGAACGCATGAAGAGGAAACAAGAACTCTGAAATGTGCAAGTAACGCACTAGCATAGCAAACAAATGCGTAATGCGCTCTGGAGTAAGAGCAATTACTGTAATACTTATGCTTTCTAGAAGTGTCACATGTGAGAGATGTAGAACTCCTTAGCAACACTGCTAATTTCTCCTGGCTTTAAAGAATTGAGGATACTGAAGTCAGGTCTAGGGAAGTGGTCTGTGTAAGGTTGGTTTATGTGGGTTCATCTGTGAGTTGATTTGCACCTTGAGCATTGGTTTATCCTTCTGTGGAATGGATTTTAGGTTGCTTCCAGAGTGCTCTAAGCATTCATTTGGTAATGGCTTGTAAAAACACAATCAATATTCTTCTACTTCTGTTCTTTATTAACAAGTGCCCATGAAAAGGCTTCAATTTAATTTGCTTCCACAAGCAATCACATATAAGTTTGCTTTGGACTTATGGGATCTGATAATTAGATTGAAATTTATGGCAGCATAGCCAAATCAGGATACTATAGAGTATACACAAATTTATTAACTAAAAAATAGTTGCTATTGGTGATATACAACCTTATGTGATGCTAAATAGTCAAGGATTTCTGTATGGCTTTTTTCACTTTTGTGAAAGTTAGACATGAGTAGAAAGATAGAGAAGAGCTATTTGGGATGAATTTAAAGTACCTTTCTCTTGTATTAGAGAAACAGTAAATTTCTCCTGTAATTTTTGACCCAGACTTTCAGGATTATATTAAAACATCCATTTTTATTACACCCATAATTAATTTTCATCAGTTACATATTTTAACAGATATAGATGACACCAGCTAAAATAAGTCACTGCACTGATTAAATGATTTGTAGTAAGGCCTTAGAGAAATTCTTTCTATTTTACATCCTTTGAGCTTCTTATTCATCCTTACAGAATCACTGTGTTTGCATGAACTTCATAGTTCAAATCCCTTCAAAGGCCATTATTATGAAACTTCAAGTTTGGCTATATGACATAGAAGAAGAGAAGGAAATGAGAGGTGGCTTCTATCTTTGACCCCTCCAGGGAAAGCAGTGACAATTATTTTTGAGTAGCTCTGTGGGAACAGTCAAGATTCTGTGCAGGACTTTTGGACATCTCCCTTTTCCTGTGTTTGTGAAAGCTGTACCCCATAGTCGTGGTATCTCTAAGGCAGGTGATTATTCAGGTTCCAGCAGCCTCATTTCACAGGTGTAGGAACTGATGAATGGAATAGATAAGGGTACAGTCAGGAATCTGATGTCAGGAGCAGCAGGCCTTCTGGATTTTTCCTTAATCTGCAGTCTTCATTTCTAATAACAGACATCCTTGAAAGCTTTCTAGCCAGATCCGAATGGGTGGTGCCTCTTAAGAGATTTCTCTTGGAATTCTTTGGGAACTTGATGAATACTTGGACAAACTTTGAAAGAAAGCACATACATAATTTGTCAGTTTTAAAGGCTGTGGCACCCCCTGCTAAAATCATTCTCAGACTCTCACGCCTCTTGCCTGTGGGGCTTACATTTTCCTTCTATCACTAACTAGGATGGGTGGGTTCAAATGACTAAGAGATTTTTAAACCTTGAGTTTGGCTTTAAGGTGTTCAGAGAATGGACTATGAATTGACCAAACAATAAGTGAAATTCAGATGCCTAAGAATGTGTCCAAGACAAGTCATAATGTGAAATGACTTTTTGTCCACACTTCAAGGAAGTTCGTGATCAGTAGTGAACCTTTGCTGAATGTTTTCCTCATCCAAAATGAAAAGTGAAGATTGTGATTCACAGATTTCAAAAGTAAAATGTTAGTGCTTCTTGCCCCGCCCCCTCACCAGTTGTATGATAGCACAAAAGCATTTCTAAAATAAACTGCATGAGCACAGATTCAGAATAAAGGTAGAGCCTGCCCTGTGCAAAATTATGAAGTTGGCCAGCGTGATTTCAGACCCCGAGGTTCCTCTTCTGCCTGCTCTCCCTTTCTCATCTCTTTCCAAACCTGCTTTCTGGAGAGCACTTGAGAGCCTCATTCACAAGGAACCCCCAAGAAAAGTTGAGGTGTGAGTGCTACTTTTAGGGACATTTTAGGGGTTACAATGGAGTCTGTGACTGGAGCTAGGGGCCTGAAAGATTTTATCCTACAAATAATGGCTTGCATCGAAGACTTGGGCAAGTGCTGCCAGTAGTTCACGTTGGTTCATGTTGACTGTGACAGCAGCTGGATAGCACAGACTTGGCCAAAGGGGAGATGGCTTATCTGCAGGTGGTTCTTGTTCTTGAGGTCAGAGTCAGATGACCCTTGCCAATAAAAACCTTGAGTTTGTCAGTGTCACACCAAAGGTTGTGCTTGATAAGGCCTGGCTGCTTTGCACACAACCGCCTTGTAAAGTGTCTTGTCAGGTCATTTTTACCAAGCCAACAGTGGTGAGGTTGTTTGTCTAAGGCTGCCCTGATTCTAAGTGACTGAACTTGGGCTCCAGCTTCTCTGGCTCCCAGTTCTGGGTCTTTTCACTGAGGCTGCTGCTGCTTCATTGCACTCACTTTTCAGCACAGTGTGTTCAGAGGGAACCTGGTAAGAGAAGTGGCCACTGAATTCTGCAGACTTCAAATGTAAAATGGAGGCTTCTGATTCCTTGAGCTTAATGAATGATTGTCATTAGGAGCTCTTCCGTCTAGACCGACTTGCAGACTCATACTGAAAGATTTGCCAAGGGCCAGTTACTTGAATTCACCTTTTTTGTTTGTTTGTTTTTTAGCTCATTTAGACCTTTCAACAACAGCATGGGATGTATTGTATCCATTTTACAGATTCCAGTATAAACTTCAGAGGGTAAAACATTTAGCTCAGCATCACTTCTGGTGAGCAAATCATACCTTAACCAGGGATCTAAGATTCCAAAGTCCATTCTTCTTCTTTCCAGGAGCTACCCCTTTAAAGAATCAAAATTTCAGAGATGTGGCTCAAGTGGTAGAGTGCCTGCTTTGCAAGTGCAAAGCCCTGAATTCAAACCCCAGTCCCACCCCAAATAAACAATCAAAAATTTCTACTGGTTTACATGCTTATGAGTTTAAACCAGTATGAATTGAGTGTCTGTGTATCAGATCTGTTTTTTTTAATTGCCTTACTTTATAGCCATGTATTCTAAGGAAAGAATTTGACTTGGAGATGTGCTAAAGATGGTTTCTAATTCTGACATTTAAGCTCTGAACTCCTTGAACTCTTCCATTCAAGAAACATTGCAACTGCATCTGCATGGATTCTGCTTTCATTTCTCTCCTAGAGCTCTTCTAAGTGACCTTTGCCCAGCCTGAGAGCCTCCTGCAAGCTTTCCCTCTAGTAGACTCAGGAGAGTGGACTGGAGTGACCATTGCCTGAGATGGACAGTATGATCTAATGACATAGTATGACTAGTATCGGAAGATCAACTGGAAGATTCCCTTTCTGCAGTTCAGGACACCCATTTCTCCCAGGGCCTCAGGCTCCTCAAAGAAAAGCAGTGATGATGGCTGGCTGTTTAGCTCAGGGCTAGAATTTGGGCATTGCCTGTGTGAGGCCCAGCCCCACCCCCAGTTCAATTCCCACCACACACACACACACACACACAAAAGTAAAACTGTGCTTAAAAAGTTATAAACGTTGTACACTGCCTTTGTGGGAAATTGAGGAAATAAGGAAACTAGAGATATGCAACTAAATTTCATTTCTAATCCCATTGTAATGTAAGACCAAATAGTCTTTGAAAATAGGAATTTAAAATTTTTTTCTAACTCCTAGCTGCACTATAGTTTAGCCATTTACATTTTCTTAGATACTTGTTTCCTATCTTTTTTTTTTTTCCACTACAAATAAGTATGACAAATTTTACCATATTAAGTATTTACC